TCCGATGCTAAACTGAAAGAAGGAGTCTTCGTTGGGTCTGACATAAAAAAATAGGTACTCCAGATGAGGGATCGTAAAGAGAAGAGAACTTTGTGGAAGTGAAGTAAAAAACTGGTTGAAATGTCAAATGAAAATAATGAATTACAGAATCAAAATCATCTCTTTCAGTTTTTATGAAAATAATAACTTTTGTGTTTTTTTTAAAAAGCTTCAAAAAGAACGATGATCTTTTTTTAAAAGGCTAATGTAAACTTTTCGAAATCCGGCAATATCTACTTTTCTTATTTCACTTTGACATTCCGTATTCCGTTATATTGCCAAAAAATCACAAAAACTCTGGTTAAGTGACGAGATGATGAAGAATAACATGCTTTTACAAAAGTTATATTGGTGGTTATATTGGTAAAAACATTTTGATTGTTTGAATAAAGGTCCTCAGTGAAGGTTTGTGAAAAGAAGTAGTTTTATGAAGTACCTAATCGATGTCTCAACAGTTTCGTTTCTGATTGAATTTTTTTCCAAAACTAAAGCGAGCCGTAAAGTTGAATATTTATCAAGAAACAAAGGCAAACTTTAAAATTTACTCACCCGTATGCTCGAAAACGTACTCCAGACAAAAATTCGCCGCAGGCAAAATAGTCCCGTTCTGCACTTGCACGCTACCATCCCCGAAGATGCTGCTGGAGTTCACTTCACCCACCACGTGTATTTTATTGTCTATGCAAACAGGAAAACCCGCGCCCAAAGTCTGGTTCCGACCTACGTTAATCCTGTAGCTGTTGTCCTTAAACTGCCTGCAAGTGCTGTTTGTCTGCGAAAAAATCGCGTTTTCGCCGCAACACTTTTTAATGTACGTCAAATTTTCGGGCTCGTTCAAACACACTAAAGCGGAGTGATAGTCCACGCATAGTTGGCTAGGATGGAATAGCTTGTCAAACTCCAAGCTGAGCAAGGAACCGTTCATGAAGGGGATGTTGTTTTTACCCTGGAATATCAGCTGCCTTGGATTCGCACAGTTCGGCATAACTCCTTCCTTGACCTTCCAATGTGGCGGTAGGGAAGTATGCGGGACAAAACCACCCTTTCGCACGTTAAAAATGTCAATATTCCAAGAACTGGACTCGTTTTTCACGCACTTTCTCTCGCCGATCGTCAAATACTCGTTAAACTTGCAACATTTCGTAACGTTCACCTGTCTCAATGCTCCGTTCACGAAAATCAAGCAACTCGAAAAAAACAGTACGAACGTCGCGGGACGCATCTTGTCAAAGTTTGTTCGTTTGTTGTTAAACAATCGCGCACCTGTCAAACATTTCTACAAACGCGTGTTCGGAAGATTCTTGGCAAGGCCGACGCGATGTCTTCTCTGCGGTCTCGATTGCAAACTGCTTTCGGTGTGCGCTTTCCTTCCGATCCCAGTAGGCCAACGGTTGCAGTGGACCGGTTTCTATCCCCACTTGATGCTGGTGCTTGCCGTCTTACCTTTATAGATGTGTCGATGGAGCGAGATTCACGGGTTGTTTGCAGTTACAGATGCATGATTTGAGATTGATAGATATTTATTTGAAAATAGCTAATGATAATATGGGAACATGGTTAGTTCGGAGTAATCTTTCTATTTTAGAGCCAATTGGGCGGGTTACAATTCAGCAAAATGAAGTTAATATATCATAGTCTATAAGTGAGACTTACAAATTGATACTATAAGTACTAGTCCGGTCAAATTAGACCAAAAATAAGAGTAAAGCTATCTAAAATCCTACGAAGCTGAAAATCAGTAAGATTGTTTGAAATATGATTAAAAATGAAATTTTAAAGTTCGCCATCTTTCCCCTGTATAGAAAAAAATGTATTCAATTCAATTATCACCCTGTTATTTGAATCCCTATCAATCGTCGCAAAACGCCGTCCTTTTATCGGTCTGTGCAATCTTGGGAACAAGAAAAAGTCGCATGTGGATAAATCTGGTGAATACGGTGGCTGATGCATGATTACGAACAAGCAATGACGAGTGAGCAGAGGTACATTATCCTTATTGACCGTACTATCATGTGGCAAAAAGTCCTGATGCACTACTCCACGGTAATCTAAGAAAATAGTTAGCAAAACCTTGACATCATATCGAACTTGGCGTGCTCTTCACGGTCTTGGCTTTCCTGGGCTCTCCCATTGGGACGATTGGTCTTCAGTTTCGATGTCATAACTATATACCCATGATTCGTCACCAGTTATGGCCCTTTTGAGTAAATCTAGATCACCATTGACGTCATTCAACAAATCCTGGGTGACGTTCGCTGCCTAAAATTTCCATAAAAATTACAAGTCTTCAGCCAACCGATATGCGGAAATCATCAACATCTCTAATAGTGATTCGGCGATTCTCCATAACAATGCTCATCAGTTGTTGATGTGCTGGAGCGTCCAGGTCGTCGTCATTCGCATCAAAAGGTCTAGACTTTTGTGAAAAGCGTGTACCACTTGTAAACATTTTCCTGACTCAGGGTACAATCACCGTATGTCACTGTCAACTCATACAACTATTTATCAGAGCAGAGGTCCGATAATAATTTATTAATCAACCAAATCATAAGTTCCTAAATAATGAGGATGTTTTCCAATGGGAGCTTATTTTTATGGAGTTTTTTTAAACAAGCCACAATTTTTTTAAGTTTTCAAATAAACATTCAATGTTGTAAAAAAGTTTTCAGCGTTAAATTAACATTATAAACATTGGAGGTACGTTTCCAATAGTTGAGACTTTTCCATAAGGAATTTCCTCCTCTTCAAGAATCTTTTTGTTTCATTCCTTAGATATTTATAGTTTCAAATGTTATTAACAAAAAACCGGAGTACCTCAATTTCCCTCGATTTTGTTTATAACAATCGTAATTTTGTAGCCACTGTAATATCCTTCGAATACACTTCTGTATGCCCATATTTTCAGGTGCTTTATATTTATTTCTCACGTGTTTCAACTTGTTGCTCACTGCTCAGTCTAGTAGAAACAAGTATAATCATGCGAACTATTCCAATCACGAATTAAATGAGGTTCACCTTGCATGACAGAAATAAACCAGAACGAGAAACAGTATATCCAGTTGTCTCTGTGAATAAATCCCAAAGATGATTCGTGATATATGAAACAGTTATTTAACTACATATTTATTCGAAGAATCCAGCCACTTGTTGACAATAAAAAATTATTCGCGTTCTGTAACATAAATAGACGATCTTACCTCTATACAGAAACTGGTCGCGTCGTTGCCAACAAATTGGTTCAAATTTTTCTCCGCTCGTGTCAAGCTTTTGATTTACTCGTTCTCTGATATTTCGTTTGTTCGTTTTGCAAAGTGTGCAACCACGTTAAAAAGTTGGACCTCGTTAATTCTCAATCTTTGGGTCATTCATTGAGGAATAATCTGGTGGATGCGTGACGGAGCGTTACTAAAAGTGTGATCAGGCGAGGCGAACGGACGTTGAGAGGGAGGTATGAGTCGGTGAAGATAGAAAGAGAGAGAGTTACGTTCCGTATATTACTGTAAGGGCAAGACAGAGAGAGAGAGAAGTACGAGGTTCGATTTACAATAGCAATTCCTTGAAAATTGTTGCATAACCTTATTTCAGGTTGAGTTGAATGGGACAAACGAGGTGTTTTTTACACGTTTTACATTAGCTCCACCTGTATGTATGTATGTATGTTTGCTTGCTTGTAACTCCCAAGCTTGGGATCTGTATTGACAGAATTATCGACATTATTATTGCTTGATCTAGTCGCGGGCAGATGGCGCTCTACGTAACCCCCTTGATATTTCTTGATCTATTCGCGGGCAGATGGCGCTGTACATAACCTCATTGTTAGGTTGTTCAAAAGAAAATCAAAATAAAAAATTGATTTTAAGAATTATAAGTGTCAGCGAAATTTTGTACTACAGATGAAATATTTAGATATATAATTTTCAATTACCCGTGATTTAGTACAGAAAAAAGTTTTGAACGAAACGAAAGATACAGTTTGAAATCTAATTCGATTATTTGAAAGGACACCAGAATATGGATTTCAACAATGAAAACGTTATCGTAAAATGTACACCTAAAAAATTCAGTTACTTAAATATTTCATAAATATAGTGTGAAAAACTAAGAAACACNTAGTATCTGAATAAGTATGATGTCATTTTTCGTTTAGTGCGATTTGAGCGCCAAAGATACAAAAAATATCATAAGAAACCAGCGACCGTCGACATCTATCGCCAATCTTTGTAATCCGAAGTCCAACGAATAAAGAAACCTACAAAATTGCTCTACCATCGATGAAATATATAGCCTCACCAGTGTATGCAACACACCTAACTAACATCTTGCATTGTTTGTTGCCTATACACACCACGAAGCTCACAACCTGCAAGTACATTTACTATGAATTATTTTAACCGTTGATCGGCGATTTTTAACAGTATCTCGTTGGATTCAACAACAAAGAATTCCTTTGTTCCTACGTTACATAAATTTTAATTAGCCGGTCTACGTGTTTTCGAGTTTGTCGAGCTCGATGACTCTTTTAGCAAATATCAAGGAGAAATCTACATGAAAAACAATAAAATTCGCCCACGCCTACCTTATTCGGGCGATAAGTAGGTCTTTTGAACGACATATTCGTCGACGAGGTGAAACAATGAAACTACGATGTTTAAAATAAATACTTTATTAAAAGTGTATAAAAGAGACTCGAAACACTTTTTTGGCAAAAAGTGCAGAATCTTTCCTTTTTTCATCAAAGAAAATAGTCTAAATATTTACAAATACTTGGTTTACAAGGTATAGATAGAAAAATTACAATATTACAAAAATAATTTATATAATGGGTAATATTTTATATAACAAATCTATACAGAGAAAATGTATCATAAGAATAGATGGGCAGTTAGGTAACTCGATCAAAATTATACCTATTATTCAAACATTTCACAAAGAAACGAAAAAAAAAAAAAGAAAATATACANAATTACCGTAATTATCTTTGGAGGAGTTGTAACCGTTCGAATGACTTCCGGAATGATAACTGGAAGGTTTCAGAGGCTCAGGAAGGCCCATGGAGGAATTATTCGTAGAATCACGGTGTTCGGGGTAAGAAAAGTTCGTCAAAGCTTCATTGAACAAGCTGTTGTGGTTGTAGGTGGGGTAGGAATCGCTCTGGTGGTGGGAGTACGAAGACAAGCTGTTGGTTCTGCTTTTGTCGTCGCTTCTTGTTGAATTGGAGTGCTTCAACTTGACGTGCTTTGAGTAGTTCGTCTGCACCACCGTGTAAGGGATCTCCTTCAGCTGCAAGTCACTCATTCCGGTTGTCTCAACAAGATCAAACTCGAGGTGCTTCTTTAGCTCACTGGGTAGCCAAGTTTTCGCCTCGGCCGGGGACCTAGATCTCGACCGATGCTTCCGGTGTCTGCCTCTGCGACCGGTTGTGTTGTAGTCTCCTGGTTCGTGGTTCCTTCTGCTGCTGACCACATTGGCTTTCTGGACAGCGTTTCCAGAGGAGTCCCTGGAGAGGTTTTTCTGGATTTCCTGCCACTGCGACGTGGAATCGACTAGTTCATAATAATTGTCGGGCTTCGACCTGGATTTCCGCTCTGTGGATTTGCTTTCGTAATCCGAACCGGAATCTTTCCTCCCACTCTTTGATTTCCTTCTCCGGTGCTTACGTCTGGATCTGGAAACAATTATTATAAAAAAAACAGGAAGTGAGAAGATTTTCCACAAATTCTTGCAGTGCATTTAGTGAGATTATTAGGAATGTGCACATTGATTAAGACAATTCAAATAAATAAACATTAACAATACAAATATATTAATGTGCATGTCTTCACATAGAATATATTAGTAAGGTATCTCAAGGACTGCTTTTATAGACATTCTGTTTTGGGAGGTGTTCATAAGACAGTCCTTCGAATTTTTGGGAAAACAAAACATACTGATAATTGTAGACCACTATTCAAAACTGTAATATCTCAACTATTCCAGCTTTATACATATTCCAAAGTCTTGTTAATATCGAAATACAAAATAACACCATAACAGTAAATTGCAATAACCTTCTTATGCTATGGCATTGCCTAGCAATCTTGGTATATTAGGGTTCTTCTTCTTTGTTATTCTGGCTACAATAACCTTCAAATACCCACCACCAAATCTGGGAAATTTATATATAAGAATAATATAAAAGAGCTGCTGTAGATTGCAATAATCTCTATATGCCAAAGCATCAACTAGCAATCACCAATATTGAGTATTATTGTTTGTATAGTAGGGTTAACCTATTTCAAACAAAGTTCTTCTTCTTTGTTATTCTGGCTGTAACACTCTTCAAATATCTACCACAAAATATGGAAAATTTGTATATAGGAATGAGGTCTCTAAAATACACAACTTTGNTATTTTGCATAAAGTTTTTCTTCTTCTTTATTATCCCGCCTATAAGACTCTTCAAAAGTCTACCACCAAATATGGAAAATGTATACATTAGTATAATCAAGAATAATATAAAAGAGCTGCTCTTTGATCTGTCTGGATTTCTAATTTCAAAACATCCTGTGCTTGTATATTTGCAGATGTATTTTCAAGTGTTTTCATTTTCAAGTTTCAATATTGTGCTAATGAACTAAATGATAAGATTATCATTACCTGGAAGACCCCTTGCTCAGCTCGCTCTCGTTATCAGAAGTCTTACTCCTGTGTTTCCGTTTCTTGCAATTCCTTGAGTCGTTAGAACTCTGGCTGTCAATCGAGGATGACCTGTACCTCCCTGACCTCACGGAACGGGGACTAGGTGGGGCTGAACTGTTGTACAAACCTTTGGAATGGGGTTGCGACCACGGAGCACTCCTAGTACTGTGCGGAGAGTCATACTTTTTGGCACCGTTATTCGTCGAAGGGTTGAAGGACCCCTCGAAGCTCTCCACGGGCAGGGGCAGAGAAATGTGCTTGATTTCCTGCCTGTGGTGGAACTGGGGCACCTTCAATGGCTCCGAAAGGACGGACTCGCTCGCGAGGTTAGGCCTTCTTGAATATTTCTTAGACGGCTTCCGAGAAAACGAAGGCGGCTGTCGCAACTTCATCTGAGCGTCCCGCACAGCTTGTTTCTCAGTTCTACCACTGTAACGGAACCGCGAACCGAGCGCGAAAATATCCGGGGACGTAGGAGTCACTTGCACAAGCCTGAAAAACGCGTGGTGTTCCACGCAGCATTTCCACAAATGTTTACAAGCCGATTTTGATGGAGTTTCGAACCCGTACGTGCACTCGTCGTCGTTCTTATCGGTCACTCTGAGCATGAAGTACCGGCCCTTGAAGTAAATCTTGGTGATGCGCGGCCAGTAGTAGTTCCCGACGGTGTTCTTGTTCTGCAGCACGATTATCCCGCTCGGGGTGAGCCCCAAGAAGTACTCCACATGGTCCTCACCCAGCACGGGATGCAAATCCACTCCGTAATTCTCCAACCACTTCACTTTGTCCAGGTAGTTCAGTTCGGCTTGCGAGGGCATCTGCCCCACTAGCGTTTGGTGCAGCTCTGCTATCCGCATCTCCAGTTCGACGCTCTGGTTGGGCAGAAACCGGAATTCCGATACATAACCCGGGTTGTGCCTCCTTGGATCAAAGTCTCCCAGCTCAGACTGCAGGATGAAGGCCCCCAGCTCTGCGGCTAGCTCGAACGGGACCAGGAGGCGCCCCTGGAGGATATCCTGCTTGATCTGGAGGAAGAACTGGTACCTGGTGATCTCTTCGAGGAGCTTGCAGGGGTCTGCTGCGTAGAACTTGACGCCAAAGTAGAGCGTGTAGGGATCTGTGCCCTTGAATAGAATGGAATAATTTAGGTGAATAGAAAGGTATATATTTATTTACAAACTTCCCCAAATATACAGAAAAAGAAAGAAAATATAGTTATATTTAAATACATTATGTATTAAGCCAGAAAATGAGTACAGTAGTAAATAAATAATTGAAATCATATAATAAATTATTAACGCAAAAATCTGTTAGACGAGAGCTTGAATTTTGACAGAGGGATACCAGCAAAAGATGCACCATGTGCCATGGAACAGCAAAATTTTCCATGAGACAACAGATCCGAACAGTCAAGTCCTCTGAATGCATCTTGAAAAAAGTGCAGAGATCAAAGTAGTTACAGTCCATTTCAAGGGTTCTAATCTCTCACAAAAAAGATAAAAGCTCAAACTGAATATTTAGGAACTGTACACAATTTGTAGAAAGGACCAAAATGTCGAAGCACTCATAAACACATAACAAATCAAGTATATATAGCTCCCAACTGCACCTGTCAATTTAACTGTGTGACTATAGCAAATTTAACTCAGAGACATTCACATTCCATGTGAGCTTCTGGTCAATATATATTCCAAGAAATTTACTTGTTCTATGGACCTATGATTCCTTCTTATCTACAGAAGACGAATTTGTTTCCACAATGTTGTGTCATCATCAAGAGATTCACCTCAGTGCTTGGCATCAACAATGAAAAATCATTGATGCAGACAAAAAATAGTAACGGGCCCAGAACCGACCCCTGAGGAACCCCGTTCAATACTGATACTACTTCAGAAAAATGTTTGAGTATGTGGCATAAGTTTTTGGATATATACCTTGATTTGCTTGTTGAGTTTCTTCGTCGGGTCCAACCAATGGGTCTGGCCATTCTGGTCCAAGTAGCGCAGCCCGAAGTAGGCCGTTTCAAGCAAGTTGAGGTGTCGAAAGACCACGTCTAGAAGGGACTGGCCATTGCTATTGTTCTGCAGCTCGTGAACCAGTTCTGTTTCATCCAAGAATACGATTTTGCAGTGTACTGAATACACTTTGGAACAAAAACAATCCATTGTCTCACGTTTCTTTTAACCCATCCTGAAAAACACACAAAAAGGGAACATAGAGTACAGTAATTGTATTTATTAATAATAATAATAATAAATGTTTCTATTGACAGTTATACGAGATATTAACCTACCCTAACCTAACAAATGGCAGAATTCAACATCTGCACATGATAAATCAAGGCAAAAATTGATCTTCCATACTAACATATTATGTTAATCAATATCTACAGCAAGCTATATAATCATTATGGGAATGAAAGTTGAGACAAAAAGAAGAAAAAAGCAACAAATTCAAAGCGGTACAATGAAATCAAAAAATATATATCTAAACAAAGAATTATTCAACACGCAAAGCTATGAGGTACTGGCTGAGCTAATATACTCATCTATATCATGAAAATATTGTTCAGCAAGGTTTTCAGCAAATAGTTTGCAGGCAGCATATCGCCATTAACCAGTTTTAAATCGTATATCAAGTCGTAAGATGTTTAAACTACTGAGTTTTCAGTGACAATAGATGAAAAACATAAATACTTATGACTTGTAACTTACGACTTAAGACTAGTACATAAATCCACAGTTAATCTATGTTTCATTCCAGACATCAGCTGATTTTGCATTGCCGTTATGATTGTCTCAATTCCAGATACTCATAAATGAGTTCTATAATTGCTATATGAGTATACAAAGTGAGCAGAGCTATAATAATAGAGCTAAGTAAAACTCTCAGAGTTGATAGTTGTCAAAATTAGAATTGTCTCCTTATGACATCTGAAGACGGTTATTGAATTGATTGAGTTGCCGTAAAGTTAAATACTACAGAATAGTTTAAATATTCTGTGGAAATACCATGTAGAAAAATGTGGAAAAATCCCCACATATTGGCAATGTCCTCACACATTGGCAACCCTGCCAAACTTTTAACCCCTAGAAACGTAACTTTTTTCCCTGCTTAAGCATTGCGTTTGGAATAAATGAANCGTCGCCGGCCAGCGCTTGCCAGCATCAACTTGTCCAAACATGCCTGGGAAGTTTCTGTCTCTCTGTACCGTCTCTAAGTAACGCCCGACGCTACGACACAGTGTCAGACGATACCTATGAAAATGAACGAGGAAAAATTGAGTTGCTTTTGTTAAGGTAGCCTCTGGAATATCCATGAGTTCTGAAAATTTGCCTGGAGTCATTCGGAAATACTGGAAAAATGTCTTCTCGTCTTCTTTCAGATCGTTGAAAAGATGATGGAACTCTCCTAGATTTCCCCTCTTTTGATTAATGGGATGGACCCACAACATTCTTTTTTTCATTTGATAATGCGGCCACTATAATGACGACTTCTTCGTCAGAACTGCTAGTGTTAGACATGTTTCTGTCACCGCTCGATGTCAACTGAAATTCCCTCGAAATCGAGCAAACAACACCTCCAGTATGCTGGTTGTAGCTGGACAAGTGGGCGATGCTACCACCCGTCGCCATCAGGCGACGGCCAGCTCCGTGCTGTGCTGTGCCGGACAAGTAGGCGACAAGCTTAACGCCTAACAATATTGAGAAATGATTATTATTTCCCCAATCGTTACAGATTTGTCGGCACAAGAATCAATTTTCGAATCGTATTGCATCATTTTGAGTCACTCTAGAACGCAATTCTGAGGCTGCGGGCACGAAAATAGCGACGGCCAAACGTTGGCAAGGCGACGGCAGCGATGCATAAAACGACATCGACAGTATAGGTGACGCGCACGAAACGAGCGGCCAGGAACTGAGGCACATTGACACATGAGATCCAAGATTGTCCAATGCATCCCGAAAAAGTCACTGTTTGGTGTGGATTTTAGGCTGGCGGCGTCACCGCTCTATATTTCTTCGAGAAGGACGTTGGCCAGGCCATCGCTGTCAACGGCGAGCACTATAGGTCGATGATCACCAACTTTTTTGGCCTGAATTGGATGATCTGGATACCAACGACACAATAAAACAGTAAATGACTGACCAAACTCTTGGATTAGAGTGGCTACATGACAAGCATGCTTATTTTGCACAAATTATATCAAGTCATAGAGACAAATGCATATTATTCATTCAATTTCTCATTTCTTATAACTTCATTTGAAAACCTTTCAAAACCAAACTTAGCCCAACGTTATTTAATTTTTTCATATAAGAAAGACCACAGTACTTTCAGGTCATAGTCGAGGATTCATGCAGATGAATTTTTTGATAAAAATCTTGAATTTCTTAATGAGCTTTCCTTATTTGATGTAATTTTTCATTTGCAAAAATTTATTAGGTAAATCCAAAGAGTTTATGTAATGTACGTCATAAAATGCTAATACCTAGTTCAATTCAAAAATTAGAATGAATGGATTTATAAAATTCACCCATTTTAATACCTTGAAACTTGAACTGGCTTGTAATTGAGTTCAGAGGCATACCCATTCTTTCAGTAACTTACCTTGGCGAGTTCAATTTTTCTAAAGGTTCCTCCACTCTCCTTTAGGCTATACCTAATCAAATTTCTGGATTGTAAAGAAAGTTTTTGTCATCTGGCAACGCCGCTTGGAACATTACGGGACAAACTACCTGTTGCCGAATACGAGGTGCGGCGAAAAAGATTTATAGCACTTGGCAGACGCGTTACGACCTATAAATATAACCTGTACACAATGTGACAGTTCTTTGAGTTAGATAACAATTACACCCACTTGTAGCAGGGTCCTTTTAACGTTTCTTCTCTCCTTTAAAAATCAGTGGCGGGTCGTGGACCCCAGTAGAATAGGTGAGTGTTTCGAAATGGGCATGAAAAAACTCTTTCAAGCTTCAAATGTCACAGAACCTGCAAAAAATCACTAATGATGAGGAAGTAGACCTAGATATATGTTTATACCTTGACAGTAAAAAAGGCAATGCTCATTTTAAATGATGAGCTAATTTCACTTCGGGTATTCTTTCAATTTATACTGCACGTTTGTTATATGATTACACAATTTTAGGGAAGTGGAGCGGAAAATTGACTCTTTTACTGCTTATAGCAATGATAGCGTTTAGATAAAGACATACGAGTAATTTGAAAATACCAAATTCGAACATAGCTAGGACCTTTTACTTCTAACGTGTAGATTTTGAGATTTGGTCATGATGAAACTTTTTGGAAGTTGAAAACTCACGTTCAGTGAACATATTATCGTGTGGAAATTTATCTTCAAGTTTATATAGCATTTCGGAAAATACATTTATTGCTGACAACCATTGGTTCTGAAAAAGTTTGAGGTTTATTTTGACGTGACTCTCAATCATTGTTTTGCGGAGTACAGAAAGTGAAAACAATTTACATTTGCAGGGAAAACACCATATAAACTATATACACAGGTCGTTTATTTTAGTTAATCCCGCTATTGCTATCTCGAAAACGGTGAGACCTACAAAGGTTGTTGATTTGGACAACTGTTTCTCATTTTGGAGAACTAGAATGGAGACTCTTTTCAGATAAAGAATATCGGTGGTTGTCTTTGAATTATTCGTCAAAATCTAGAATGATCAAATTTCGTGATTCGGCTCTTCCGCCTTCATTTCGAAAGGCAGGGAAAATGTCAATACTGTTTCATATTTGTTATTAAATACGGACCTCTAGTTTTTTCGATCTATTTTTGTAGCCAATGTACTAAAATATTCAGCTATGTAACGGGTGTTTTTTTAAGAGGTATTGGATTTGATTTTCAAAACAACAAAAATTTAAAAACATTTATGAAACCTTTATTAGAATCGATAGAACGATCAATATAATTTAATGTTTGAAGATGATTTCATGCAGATGTTGTTCGCGGCTCCGCTTTAGATGGCCCATGCGCAAGGTCCAATTTTGGCACACTTTCTCTAACATATCGACCGGTATTTCACGTATAAATGCTTCAATATTGGCTTCCAGAGCGTCAGTCGTTGCTGGTTTATCCCTGTAGACATGAACCTCAACATGACCCCACAAGAGATAATCCAAAGCCGTTAAATCATACGATCTAGGCGGCCAATTGACAGGTTCCAAACGTGGGATAAACTGTTCACAGAAGGCGGCTCTTAATTAGGCCATTGTTTCGCATGCCATGTGGTAGGTGGCACCGTCTTGTTGAAACCACATGTCAATCATCACACGGTAGCGCTCGCCATTCAGAGTAACGTTCCCGGCCATTGTCGTCTTTGATGTCGTCACGATGATGCCATCGACCTATAATCCACACCAAACAGTGAGTTTTTCAGGAAGCATCGGTAACTCTTGCAATGCTATTGCGTATCCATTCAACCAGAAATGAGCCTCTCGCTGAACACAATTTTTCGATAGAAATGTGGATCTTACTCCAACTTTGCCAGCGCCCATTCACCAAATGCTAGACGTTGTGGAAGGTCGTGTGGCTTGAATTCTTGCACCAGCTGTAGCTTATAAGGTTTTACACCCAAATCCTTTCGCAAAATTTTCCACGTAGTGGAGTAACAGCGGCCCAATTGCTGCGAACGGCGGCGCATCGACATTTTACGGTCGTCACGAACACTGGTGGATACAGCCGCAATATTTTCTTCGGTCCTCACTCTACGTATGCGTGTTGGTGGTTTAATGTCCAATTATGTAAACTGGGTTCAAAATTCAGTCACAAGCTTCCGAATAGCTCCCTCAGTAGGCTGACGAAACTGCCCATAAATTGGAAGAAGTGCACGATGCACTTCCCTCGCCGAGCAAGAATTTTGATAATGAAATTCAATAATTTGCAAGCTTTGTTCATTCTTAAGTCGATTCATGGTGGTTGGTTAAATTATAGACCAAACTGAACAAGTTTGACAATGACACAAGACACGATTCACGCGTGATCTGTCAAAAACAGTGTTGCCAAAAAGATACCACAAAAAATCACTCATTATTGCGATACATGTGTTTTCCCTCGTTTTTCCTTTCATCACTGTATGGTAATATAATTTCCGGTCGGAGCTACCTAAAAATATAAGTTTCAGTATTTTTTGGGTCTACACCTGAAATCTGTACACAAACTCCACATATCTGAAGAACTATACCAAGTAACAAACAAAAAAAGATTAATGTCAAAATATTCTTAACCATCTACGACGCTCGCGATATCTCATTAAATGTTCAAATTGAGGTCCACCGTTCTTCAAACACATATTCGCTCTTGCAATTGTATTTTATGGCAATTATTCAGCGTTTGTGAAGTTATAGCCATGCAGGTCCTCGTTATTGTTTCTTTCAATTCGTCAATATTGTCAGAAGTTGATCTGAATACTTTGTCTATAATGCAGCCCCACTATGAAAAGTTCAGAAGGGGCAGGTCAGGTGAACGTGGTGGCCATTCATTAGGACCACAGTTTCCTATCTATCGTCCTGACATAAATTACAAAAAAAAGGTTACAACAATCAGGGGTTGCAAAACAAATTTACAAAAGGACCATACTTGGAGAAAACTCAACAAGACCGTTTTGTTTATTTATTGATGTCTGAAGAGTTGGGAATTGTTCGTTTTAAAAATGGACAATTTAAGTGCAAACAAAATCATCAAAGTTTCAGTATCAGAGAAAGAGCTATTCTGTTAGATGATTTTGAATTCCCTGGTAAACCGCTATCAAACAATGGAATTATCTATTAACAATAACAATAAAATGATTTCACATAGGCTCAATAAATACATAGAGATGGTATAAACATCATTCAATTTGCTGGGAAACAGACCAAGTATCGGAAACAAAAAAACAACAGCTACAATAAAATATGGTTATTTCTCCTTGTCATACGTTTGTTAAAAATTCCGAATTTTTCGTTTATCCTTTCGTTAAAACCATAAATGGCATCATCAACCTAAGAATATATCTGTACGTGACCGGATTTGACGTAGCCTCCAATAGGTGTGTATCATTATTATAACTATACTCTTTATAATTGGCTTGGCTTGGTAAAAATCAAACCATGAAGTGAACACAATAGTCTTAATCTCTATATTTGGTTCACGTAGAAGTGACCAGAGTTGACAAGAAGTACTTGTTAACATGGGCGTACTCGTAAAAATTCCTAGGGGGTGAAATAGTGAAATGAAAATTTGCTTTAGTGTACCAATCGCGATTCTGCCGTTAGAAATTGAGCATGGAAAGTAGGATTTTGAATTATTCACGACACTTAGACGTTTTCACTACTTTAAAATAACAAAATTAAAATTAATCAAATATGAATTCAGATAGGGATTTATCCAACTTGATTAAATGTAAATTTCTTTCTGAATTGAATGACAATTTTTGTATTCACGGCTTCGTAGATGTTAATAGTTTTACTTGCTGTAGAATTTTCCCATTTCATTCAACATTACACAGGCCAAACCTTTTATTTTTTCCGTATCGTTAGATTCGGTCAGCTACATTTCAGAGATGTTCTCTAGTTGAAATATATTTTGCCAATTTCATATAAACAGTTATAAATACAAAAATTAATTGGCGCTCCGGGGCGACTTCATTGATTCCAGTGACGCACTTGCTTTTTCAGCTGCAGGAAAATCTGGAAAAACCTGCAACACCACATCATCTGAAGATTTTGATCTGCCAATGTCCTCTCTCTTATAAAACAAAATGTAGGGTGTCCCCAGAGGCTCCAATAAATTCAATACATCGCCAGAACAATTCGTGACGCGACTATCGTCAAGCTCAAACCAGTCCGTTTCGTCTTTGACCAAGGTGTAGATTGCTAGATTGGAGTGTTCATCTATTTCGAACCTCCGAAAGAGATTGGTGCTTCCATCAGAGGTTGAGTCTTGTTCAATTCCTGTCTCGACCAGATATTTTTCTCGAGATAATTTACCTGGTTGAAGCTGGAATGATTCTGCAACCGTGATAGAAATCACAGGTTAAAAGGTAATAGCTCGTTAGTCCTCGCACAAGTTTCTCAACTTCTGAGAGTTGTCGTTCGTAGGGGGGAGACAGCTGATTAACTAAAAAACAGATTTCAAAATAGATTTTAATACGTTTGATCATCACCTGTTGAAAATTCCATTTTCAGATGATTTAACAATAAGCTTTGCAAGGACTGGTATTAGTCATATTATGAAACGCTAGATGAACTTCCAGAAATTCACATATGTTTTTTATCATCGCATATCATTGAAACGCTATCTTCTCTCCAAACGAAAGTTCATTGCTGAAAAACAAATGGATGTTTACAACGACAGAAACACTTGGGATGTTTCGAGTAGATACTCATTGTTAACACTTTTATGGATCAAGACAAGGGCCCAAGTGGTTGACCTTTCTTGACTAAATTTATGACCCCGAGCAATGTGAGAGATACTTTTTCAAGAGTTACTGGGAACACATTTTCTTAGCCGATGCATATATTCTGTTCAGGCATTTTGGCCAGGAACTAATCCTAATTCTGATTCCCCTCGCCACGAGGTTACACTGTTAATTTCTGTTTGTTCATTTGTTGGTGTAATTGATAAATTTCATTATTTGTAAACGCTGTGCCTGTCTGATCAATAATTCACCAATCACCAGTCCAGACACAAGTATTTTTGATTCTTGATACAAGGAATCACTTGGATACCTTGGTTTCTTCTACAGTATCATCTTCAGAAATCGTTTCTGAATCACTTCAGAGGACCGAATGTGTTTTTAATACTCCTCCCCATCCTTATATATCGTATCTGTCTGTCTGTTATATCGTACGTAATGAGACTCCCAGCAAAAGCGAAGTAAACGATTTCTTTCTGTTTCAGTGCTAGTGTTCAATATATGACGAATGGTAACTTTTTTAATACACAGTCTATGTGTATATCCCACTATTACAATGCCAAGATATTTCATATGCGATACGGAGAATATTTGAAACTCATGTTGTATTCTGAGCTGCGACAAATTTTGTCGCGATGTTGCGACAATGTTGATTTGTGAGAATGATTTCTTGAAATTAATGGATAATAATTCATAGTCAAACCAGTCCTCGATGGTGAACAAGTCTGTTTGTACTGTATCTTTCAGGTCTTTCCAATTACTTCCGCCGTAGTTTATGATACTACTGCGAAAATAAGCCAACAATATATAATGAGAAGAGAATCGGTCCAAGAGTTGTTCCCTGTGGTACGCCATACTTTATTATTCGGTATTCGCTCATTGTGTCCCTAAAATTGACACACATTTTCCGATCACTCAAATATGTCTTAAATAGCTCCGATATTCTCCTCTTGATTCCTTTTTTTTTCTAGAATATTGAGTAGTATTGTGTGACTAACCATGTCAAAGGTCTTTCGTTAATTTCCGATGACAGTTCTAGAATGACATCCTGGGTTGGTTATCTCCCTTGAAGCCAAATTGTAAATTCGATGAAAGTTTATACTTTTGTATATGATTTATTGTTCTAATTTTGAGTTCATCAATACAGTTTACTGTATGATTTTCTCTATGAAGGGTTTTACAAAAACCGTAACACGTGTTTCGCTATACAACAGCTTTCCCAAGCGGGTTTTGTAAAAACCTCTATAGTAAAAATCATACTATGAACTGTATTACTGTGTTTTAATATATATTTTCGGCCAGTTCTATTTAATGGGGAATGTTCCTCAATTTGGGTTATTACAGCAAATGCAAGTTTGAACAAAATAAGTTTCTCGGAACATAAGTAAACAGAACAGCACGCCTCTGAAATATGTCATCTTTGTTTGTCTCATACAGGTAACAGATTCATTGTCCTTCATTAGCTATAACCGATGTTGCCAAATGGTGAAATAGAAACGAATCCCTTTAAATGTAAGTTTAAACTGCGTTCTTTTAGACCTCTTTCATGAAAACTACTTGATTTTCGTCAGGAGGAACATTCCCCATTAATTTGGGGTTTTCGAACATTTTGCTGAAGCATGTGATCACCGAAATTGGCCTCTGTTTTGTCACAATTTTTGTAGATTGGAATTGCTACTGAGGTTTTCAGGTCTGAAAAGTAAATAATCTGATATCCGCTGGAAAAAGTGGTTTTTTGAAACAATTTTGGTGTCTAGTTCAAGAAGTGATATAATATTCTTTATTGTGAAACATATAGATCATACAAATTGTTTATGCCAAATGTCTCCGTTTCTTCGTACAATTTCTTTGTTAAATAGCGTTTGTGTTTATTATATATTATTTTCAATAATGTATTCTGTACAGATTATAGCTTATTGATTGAGTTTTCAAATGTAACGACCAAAGATGAATGAAAAAACGCAATGAGCTCATGACAACGCAGCAAATATCATCCCTTTCTAACAGGCTTTACTTTCACAACAGCCCTCGTAGAACCAATGCTACTAATTGTTGATTTTTCAACATAAAAATTATAAACCCCGCTCGACTGACAAAACGTTTATCATCAATATCTCCTTCTATATTTCGTTTTCTCTCTTTGTGTTTTGTGATAGTCACCCGAGTATAACTAATGAGCCTCATTTATATTTTCCTTAGTGTTAACAAACTCCACTTTTCAGAATAAATAATATAACACTAATTTACGACCAAAATAAAACGACATCGAATAAGAACATTCATTTATCAGTATCTACTTATTTGCTCCAAATGAACTAATGATATGATAAAGATCCAGTTCTGTTTTTTGTTCTGTTTTCTTTTGCAACGGAAATGACAATTTATGTAAGTCCTCTCATGCCGCAATTAGCGGTGTGAGCAGATCTCAAGATACCTCAATTAAAATGATACATACCTTCGCTTCAACTTGTACACTGAATTAATTTTATTTCCTTGTAGAGCAGATTTCGGCGGGCCAGTAAAAAATTAATGCTCATTCGGAGAAATCACTTTCGAGCCCACGCGGAAGCCGAACTTCCTTTTGATCGTGGGAATATGTTAAAATATATACATGGTGTCCTTAAAATAGTTTTTTATGAAGGGTTTTCTGGAAACTTTTCACTCAAAGTACAACAGCTCACAAGCGACATACCAATTTATTTGAAAGTGATGTTTTTTGTGCTGAAGAACGCCCGGTCTGGAGACAGCAGCTAAGACTGCATCTGGAGACAGTAGCTAGAGACAGCAGCTGGAGATGGTAGCTGAATCGGAAGCTGGAGACAGCAGCTGAGTCCTACATTCTATGTGATCATTTCGATTCGATCCCGGCTTTATTTTTCTTCTCTATAAAGGTTTTCCTGCGTGGATTTTTCTCCTTGGCCCATTTTCTGATCTGTTCCTTCACCAATGATTTTGATATCAATGTATATCCGTACGGTTCAACTTATGCCGAAATTTCAAATTTGACGAATCACTTTTGAGGCAGGGTGTTTTTCAAAGGTTACTGGAACTATTTTTGACATACGCTAATGATATGACACGAAAGTGTTTCGCTATACGATAGCTTTTTCAGACATTTCTGATGGAATTGGCCGATATTTGATGAAAATCCATAACGTTTTATAATATATATTTTCATATTCCTTAACAATGGTTTTGTAATATAATAATTAACTTTTCGGGCTGTTTCGGTAGCGCTTTGATTCAATTTCAATTCGTAGGGATATTTTTTTTAAGAAATCGTATATTAATAAGCTGAAATGAGTCAAAAAATCGAAATTTGGAAAAAATGGTCAGCATCAAAGTATAGATTATAAAACCCTCTATCGATCAGTGTACACCAAGACATAGTACAATAAATATTTATTGCGATATGGAGCAACAAAAACACATGACAGTAAAACGGACGAAACTTTTGAAACAACCTCATACAACATTGAAAGTTATAGTTATTGACACCGATATTCAGTAAGTAGACAGGTATAATTTATTTTTACTGTTGTCAGTTCCCAAATCTAATCAAAACCCATTAGTTTAAGAACACTGGCTGTTGTTTAACTAACTATTATTTTATTTGTTGATTGTCACTCTGAATAGGTCACTTTGAGTTGTCCACCTGATCCAAGAAGCCTGATTACTCATTCCTAAAGCGTCGCGAACGTCCCAAGTTATGAATAAATCTTTAGGAAGAGAACAAATAACAACTTTTCGGAATTTTTCAGGCGAACGATCGGTTTCGTATTCAGTCTGGTGAATCGACACTCACTAGTAAACTATCCACAGCGAACCCAGAGAATTCTTTCTGTCTGCACGGAATACATAATTACATATTACATTTCAGAATGAATAATAATTTACGGCCGCTTGTCTCGGAGTTTTTTTCTTCCGACTTTTTCGTGATGTGTTTTTAGCCTAGAGCCGAACGCGATACTCTCGATTTGGTAGTCCATTTCGTTCTCTGAATCGGGCGATTTCACGTAGTAGGCCGATTATTAGGACTGAGATGATTGAATCCGGCTGGATAGATGAGGTTTCGCGGGAGACTTGTCAGTTGTGAAATATTTTGAGTAATTACTTCTACAGCGGGAACTATTTGATTAATGGATAGTTGAGAAGAGGGCAATTAGCAACAGTAACTACAAAATTTAAAAAAATGATTTCAAAAACTACACCTCAACGATTTGATCTCTACAAACTTTATTTGAAAAATATATCACAACATGTTTCGTCGAGATGTCTAGTATTTATAAAAAAAAATTGAAACCGAGAAAACAAGCAACAAGGATATAGAATATTTTCACTTTTATAAATTATTGGTTCAGCATTGGCAATCAACTCAGAAATTGAATGTTCTTTCCCCTACAAAGTGAAAATTGATCCATCGGTGAATCTGCGGTGATAGAAATGATTCAACAGACTATGTAGACCGTGAAACAAAACCGATCCAATTTTTATTTTTCCCAAGTTATGCATCAATAACTAGCGGGTACATAATCCTTTCTCCTCAAGGGCAGAACGATTTAAAAGACATTAGAGGAGAATGCTGAGCTGAAACCTTCCGGCGCTTTTCAGGTATATGGGAGAATACTAGCTGCTTTTGGCGCCTATCAGGGATGGACTCGAATGATTTCTAAGGAGGCCACCACGTCCTGAAATAGATCCACTTTTTGTTCGAATGAAAACCTAATTTGTGTACCTCACTGGTTATCCTAAAAAAGGCCTTGAGTACACAAATACATAAGCACTGCTTGAAACACTTTAAGATTTTATAATACAGTAAAGTGTATCTTGCAGTTCTTTCGGGATTCAACCTTCCACATTCCGAAAAATAAGCAAATAAATGGAGAATTTGCTGAAACGTAATAAAAGGGCAAACTGTCAGTAACTGGTAGCATTCACAAATTTGACCTACATCTTGGCAAATCTAGCTGTTCCTGTGAATATTGAATGCCCAGTAGATCAACCGGCAGACGTAGGGCGAGAGCTCATTAACATCGACGAACTCGTGTAGTGAACATCGTGTCAATACAGTAAGTAAGAAAATTATTTTGTGTGGTGAACTGAAACTAATCTGTTGTCTTTGAAAATGCATTTGAACAGTAAATTGAACGACAAGATTCTCAGTGGACAAAGCAGTGGAATTGTGAACATCTTATTAAGATGTAGGCAAGCGGAAGCGTGGGCAGATGAAATAAGGAGTCTTTATACGATGGTGGGAAGTATTAGCAATAGTACTGTACGAAAACTTGAATCAGAGAAGAAAAAAATGGCAAGAAAAAACAATTTCGACTCCAAATGAAAAGAGATGTATCAAGAATAACAAAATTGTGATGGCTGATGCTGATTTGGCGAATTTGAGAAAATGCATACTCAATTTCCATAACAAAGAGGAACGAGTTCCTGCGCTGAGGGAAATTCATGAAACTTCCTGTATTGCATGTGCTTTGTCCTTGAAGAGAACTGCCAAAAGCACTTCTTCACCCTTATATTGATAAGGGCTGAATCCATTTGTACATTGTTCATCTGGAATCTTAATTTCGTGTACTTGATTTTCATATTGGGCCCTGACCTTTTTCCTCCATCCACCCCTGGCGGCCGTGGTACACGCAATCTTTCATGAACACTCGTTTCTTTTGGTAATTATAAGTTACCGACAGAATTGTTTAACCGTATTTAAAAGCGTAACCACTCCCATCGAACTGCCAGGTAAATTATCTCCGGGATGATGGTATCATTCGGGTATGGGAATTTTCTGAAACCGATATGGGACCTCGGAGATAAGATGAATTGTTTTCCGGGCGGAATTCCTCGCTGATAGTGATCTACTACACCTTTCTCTGACGTTTTTACATTCGGTTTCTGCATAACTTTATCAAAGATTCCACAATTCCTTGATAACTTTGGCGAACGCTTTTATTAAAGCACCATTCATACTAGAAATACTAGTATTGATATATTCCATGAATTCATTCTTTGGCAAACATTCCAGTAACCATTTCGTGTATGATAAACATTGGATTACACTGTTCGTCATACAGGTGTTGCCAATATTTTTCAACCCATTAAGCCCAAGGGTTTTGTCTCTAATTTGTATCATTGGTCTGATTTTGTTGTAGTTGTTGATACGTTGGCCACTGCTGTTTTCTTCCGAGTAATCAAGGATGAGATGATTCTCCGCATCGGTATGAGGAGTTTGAAGTTGAACTGCTTTAAACTGAACCGGGTAGATTTGTGGTAGATTTTTCGAGTTTGTGAGACAATGGTAATTCCAGAATTTGTTCAAGTTTATCTACATCTAAGAAAATCGGGACAAGGTCAAGCCACCGTATTCATCAGATTTGCCTCCCTGCGACTTTTTCCTGGTACCAAGATTGAAAAGACTTATGAAAGGACGGCGTTTTGCGACGATTAAAAACCGAATCGCCGAGAGAGCTCAGGGACATCATGATATAAATCATGATGAAGAGGCCAATAGCCAGAAACACGTGTCCGCGGTTTGCCTTCATTTTTTGAGTGTTCTATCCACAAATTTTCTCTTTTTGATTTATATCATACACACTCAATAACATCTTCATCTCTGTATTTATATCCTGGACCCGGAAGTCACGCAGGTAGCTATAGCTGCCTACATAGTGATGTTAGATGATGCCTGGGAATGCTAGGTCTTCTAATTGAAACCACAAATGTGCGGTTAGCTCCTGTTGGTGACACCGTGCATATTTGAAGTTTTTCATTTTTGGTAACTAGTTGTTGTCCATCTTTGCAATTGGCTGCACCGCGCTGATGAGGCCAATAGCCAGAAACACGTGTCCGCGGTTTGCCTCCATTTTATATGCGTATTGCATTTGTAGCATCTGACTCTGTGTTCTGTTTTATTTGCATTTTGTAGGCTTTATCAAACACAAACCTGGGTTCAATTGCATCACTGGTTGCCTGCAGCAGAGTTTGCGCAGTAAGCGCTTCTCGCCATAGGCTCAGCTTCATTCCTACATCGAGGTTTACATCAGCCGTGCGCAATCGTAACATGGCCATTAACGGATCCTCCTTAACGTACAGGTCCAGAGGGGTTAAATGTGGAAGTGAGATTTCATAATTGAAAATTGACGTGTTTTGGGAATTTACTGACAAGTAAAATACGTTGAAAATGAATTTATCTGATTCGTACTGCTCCAGTTGAGTTAGATTGGATTTATGATTGACTATTCTTGCTATCATGGAATGAATTGAATTCTAAGTGGCCTAGAGAAAAACCTAAAGCCATATTTCCTGAGACGATTAAGATAGTATCAATATAATGACACTGAAGTTATTTTTCGACAAAACTCTTCAACGCCGGTAGTGGTTATACGATATCGTGTCACCTCTTAAGTAGTACAGAACATCCTATTCAAAAATAATTAGACAGTTTGTTTGTTGATTTTATTGATCGCCTTCATCGTTAATCATTCAATTTATATTCCATTTTGGCGATATGTTTCCGCTTGAAGTTGATTTTTTGGGTTGAAAAAAAGTAGTTTATTGAATAACTATTAAATATACATAAATATAAAACATCAGAAACTGATAGAAGGATAATAGCAGGTGGAGTACAATGACCTGCTCAACTTTATAACTCTAGAAAAATTCGAGAAGCTCTGATATGAATGCAAGAAATATAAAATAATACTCTGAAGGTTTCACTTCCACAATCAAATTGCAAACTCAAAATGTTTCAAGCTTTGAATTTTGTCTCATCCGCAGCTTCGATCTTCTTGAATTTCCTCCTTCAACATTAACAGGAAAGAACACTATTGAGATAAATATTTTTCATGAATGAAAGTAGTCTGATAACTGTGTCAAGAAGAGATACATAAGTGAATGTTTGTCGTTGAACTCAATGTCCGTCGTGGTATTAGTCAGGAAAGACGCTCCTTTGCGGTAGTCATGTGCCAGATTCTACCTTGTAGAGATGTTTGGAGGGGTGAATGTCTGAATTTAATCCGAAATATTTATGCTCTCAATATGGATTGGGATATTTGATGAAATGAAAGGGATATTTACTGTAAAATATTTCATTGCTCTCCGCTGCTTCAGTTCAAAAAATACTGTATCAATGTTTGATCATTTGAAATCATATCGATTCTACAGCACATCTAATGTATAATACTGAGTTATGAATAAATCGTTACACCATTCATAACCTCAAAAAGTTATACATTTGGAAAAAAATTGAAGACGACTTTTGGCTTGTTAGGTTATGACAGTATGCTGTGTGTGAAGATAATTGAGGTTAAGACGTTTGTGATTGTGCAAGAATGATTATAATTGTTATGGCAATATCCATCATGGTGTTATTTTAAATGCTGCAAGCGAGAAGTTCAAACCTTTCACAACGAAGCCGTAACGCTCAGACCACTGAATATTTTGATTTAATCCACTGTAGTTGAAGAAGAAATCAGTGTTGCCAGTGTCTACAGTGTTTGCAGATCTCCTTCTTTTGCTATTGAGCAACTGTTCCATTGTTAGATGAAATTTACTGATAAATAAATTCCCTTCCTATAATAATTGTTGAATGACTATTAGTTATTAGTTTCGATCGATTACTGAGTCAGTGGACTCAAATTTATCCACCACATTGCGAATAGTCATCTCGGTAGGCACGTCCTTAACTAAAAAGACAGAATAAATTAATTCGACAGATTCGGAAACCAGTTTTAAAAATCTCTTTTGAAATCTGTTTTTCCGTTAATCAGGTGTCGCCCCCATACGAACGACAACTCTCAGAAGTTGAGAACCTTGTGCGAGCTAAGGACTAACGAGGTCTCACCTTCAAACGTGTGATTCCTAACACGGAATAAAAATCACAGACCTCTTCTCGAAGTTGACGGTCCAAGAAATACCCTGTATATCATATGGCTTAGGATAAAAATGTAATGACTTGCAGTGATGGATTTTAGTATCATATCCTTTGCGGAAGAGAATGTTGTATTGAAAACGATCTGATCATTATTAAGTGAGTATTATAAACAGTTATCGCCTGATAGGATTGACAGGATGCGATGCTAGTTGGATGAATTAATTTCAATGAATTACGTGGAAATGCCTTGGGAATTTTGTAGTTTGTTTTGTTGCCAGTGGCGTACCGCCTACGCGGTGGAAATGAGGTACCTTTAGGACTAAATTACAGAAAACACGACTATGAATATGTTTAACTGATGTTCCTCAAGTTCTTTAATGTTTTCTGAACAATTGTGGTGAAAATTATGTTTATGCTTTGCAGAAAACCTTTTCCAGGTTTTCCTCAATTTGTAATATTTGTTACCAACCTCTTTAGACACCAGTCAACTGGTGCAGGGGTATTTAGCTGATTATGTATCAAACCAAAGATGGAGCAGAAATTATTTATTGCAAATAAGGATATATGTAATGAACATATTAGCAGACAAAGGCGATTGAAAAAAATTAGAGAAAATTCAAATATATTCCTGAAACTGGATGTACAAAAAATTTAAGTCACACGTTAATCTGAACTATTTCACATTTTTTTAAGCTTAGACTAGCTGAACTAATACTCATACACAATATCTGTATATCGTCTTTTGTTGAAGAATAACATTTTATTATCTATGATGAGGACGGAAATCACTTGTAATACCGAAAGAATTTTGATATGATTGGGTTTATTATGTCGATAACTGGTAATTATATTGGTCGACGAGGTGCATTTTTTGAAATAACTATCTATCTATTACGAGCATCTCAAATATTATTCTGCCATAAAATCTACAGAAACTAAAATACTTGATGTACGACAATTATTTTTCGAAGAGGCCGTATCATAACTGACTAGAAATAGATAAACTGACCGAAATACAATACAATTGCAACATAATACACAGGAGTATCCATTCCAGTACAATTATTATTATTACCTTGCACCAAAGCTCTACCATTTGATAGTGGGAGTTATGAAAACTCAATCACTCGAGAATGAACTTCAGAAAACAACCGAAAGATTGGGTACTCATTATTCTCCGTACTGAAATTCACAAGCTGTTCGACATGCGCATCTGAAGAAAAATTATTTTAGAGTTTTTCTGTGACAAAACTATATGCTATTAGTATAACTAATGTCACACCTATCTCGTCCAATTCACCTTGAGTTTCAATTCAGAATTCACTCCAAACTATCTCCTAATTTGTCCTAAAATACAAACACAGAAAGTTGTATCATCTATCTTTATAAATTTTCTGCTTTTTGTTTATTTGAGGGAACATAATATTTCGTAGAAATTTCATAAAAGAATAACATTTTAACAATCTGATTGTTTTCCTTGAGTTTTGCACCAGCACTACCTATTCAATAGGATTTCATTTGAAGCACATGTAATTTTTCTGAGATGACTACTCTGTGCTTGTGTCATTAGTGTCAGTTGTCATGTCAATACAATGGAAACAGCAAACAAAACTCCATAACAATATAAACATCATTATTATATGACAACTGACACTAAGTACAAATACAAAAAGTAGCCATCTCGGAAAAATACATGTGGTGCATACAAAATTCTTATTGATATCGACGATTGAATGAATATAATAACACTGATTTCAAAAGACCAATTAAAACCCAAGAATGGACAACACAAGGATCTTTCACATATACATATGACAGCTGACACTAATGACAAATACACATAGCAGTTAACATGGGAAAAAATGTATGTATGTGCCCCAAGTGAAAATCTTATCCGATATTGTCTGTTTTGATCAGGTTGTGAAGTGACCATGTGCAGCAGCTACTGCCTTTAGACTGTTTAGGACGTTTGACACTTAAACATACAGTGGTCTCAGCTGGTCAGGGGTCAAGGTCACAGTTTCTGTCAAATAGTGGTGATAAAAAATATATTGTCAGATTTTATAAATAATATAATTTTTTGATGAGTTGATTTGGGTGACCTGTTCAATGTGATTGAAAAATACAATATATAATAAATATAATTTCAAATGTCTTACATATTTGAAGTACCTCCCATGGGGGATGAGTATTATGAACCTGAAAGTCCTCCAAAAGTTATGGTGCCTGTACATACTGAAAGACTAAATGTGAGTTATTCACCGATGATATTTTCAAGCACTCTATCAGTAACAAACTTACAAGAGTAACAGTTGTATTTTCGAAAATGTTAGCTGCCTCTATTTTCAGAGAAGTGACTTCCTTGTGGCTACAAGACAGGCTTCGGGATTGACTGGAGGTAAAAACATTGTACAAAATATCGCCAATGTGATAGAACGTAGGAAGGTGAGAATTTGATTTTCATTCATAGTTTATCCTACCTGGGATTGAAGTGTGGAAAAGATAAATGATATGCCATCTAAATGGATACTTTACTCAATAATATATACTTTATTTTACTTTATATACACTATTTTAAAATTGTCCATTTTAAATGTGATCGATTATGTGTAACATATGACATGTTTTATATCACTTTCACCGTGGGCTTTTTGAAATCAATAAATTCATAGTTTCTTCACAGTTACTCTTTGTATTCTGTTTAACATAAGTATAATTTCAGATTGGGCTTCCCGATAGCTTTTCGCAAGGTGAAAAATGTAAAATTTCAAGTTTATTCTTACCCAACTCCATGTCTGTCATGGATAAGTACGGAAATTTTACCTATTGTGGTATCTTCAACAAAGAGGGAACTAGATACCTTACTGCTGGTCAAGGTAAGAATTGATTGATTGAAATCAATTTATTGTCCGACACAATCTTTAATAAAGCTGCTCTGTACAAATATGAATGATAATAGGATACTTCAATGTGAACCACATCCGCAACAGACAACTCTACGCTTTCCTACAGAACTCCTCCTTCAAAAAAGCAAAAACAGCTCCTACCTTCCTGATGGAAGGTAGGAGCAGAAGGAGGTCATGCAGACCTAGGTTCAGACCATTTAGCAATTGAAGTGAACTTAAACATGAATATGATTATTTAGAAAGAGGATCACTAGATAAACTATAACAAGTGCAACATGGAAAGAGTAAATTACGATATAATACAATTCATCCAACACCTTCGAATTGTTAATGAAGATCATATCGAAACATTCAACAAAAAACTTGTTGAATCTGTCAGAAGCGACTCTCCAAAATTGAAAACAAAGTTTTATGTGTACAAACTTCCAACATTTATCATAAGGCTGATAAAAAACAAGAGAAAAATGTACAGAGAATTCAAAATCACCCAGGACCCTCAACAAAAATATCCAGAAACTTATTATGCAGTACAAAGAAAGTAAATGGTTAGTAACATGTGATAAAATAATCGAGCAAAAGGGTAAAAATTTCTGGCACCAAATCAAAAAACTATCTAAATACAAACCAATAAGTAAAATCAATAATCTGCAAGTTAATGGTCGTATAATATCAACAGATGATGATAAGGCAGATACATTCTCAACTTATTTTGAGAATGCTTTCCAAAAAGAAAATTATGTTCATTTTGACCAAAATCAATGTGAGTGTGTCAATAATGGGTACAGAAACTTTTTCAAAAACATCCCAATTCAAAATGATCAAGAAATAGATGAAGATTTTTATTACAACTTCATCAGTGAGGGAAAAAATACAACCCCAGGAATAGACAATGTATCTAGGAGAATAGTACAAGCCCTAGAATCAGACATACATAAACATATAATCTCCATCTCTGAATATTGTTTGAACAATCATTACTATCGTACATCCTGGAAAGAATGATTAATAATTGCCATTCCAAAGCCCAATACAGACCATTCACAGACCTGCAACTACAGACCCACTACTTTTTTTCCAGTGTTGGGAAAAAACTTTGAGAAAATCATCAAATATCAATTCAGTGAACATATCAATATACCAATGTATTAATTTGGTTTTAGAGAAAATAGAAATACAACCCACCCTTTAGTAATTGTAACATCTAACGTACAAACAGCACGCATGACCAACCTACACTCTGCAGCGCTATTTTTCGACCGTAACCTCAAAATTTTGTCCTCAATCTCGAAATTTCGACCTTAATCCCGAAATTTCGACCTTAATCCCGAAATTTTGATCTTAATCTCGAAGTTTTGATATTTAATCCAGAAATTTCGACTTTTATTCCGTAATTTCGACCTTAATTTCGAAATGTCTTGTTTAATTTTCGCCCTTAATCTCTAAATTTCGACCTTAAAATCAAAATTTCGACCTCGATCTCCAAATTTCGACCCTAAACTCAATATTTCAACTTCAATCTAGAAATTTCGACATCAATCTCGAAATTTTGACCTTATTCTCGAAATTTCAACTTTAATCTCGGAATTTCGACTTTGATCTCGGAATTTCCACTTTGATCTCGAAATTTCCACTTTGATTTCGAAATTTCGACCTTAATTTCGAAATTTCGACCTTAAACACGAAACTTCGACCTTAAGTCCGAAACTTCGACCTTAAATCCGAAATTTCGACCTTAAATCCGACATTTCGACCTTAAATCCGAAATTTCGACCTTAATCCTTAAATTTCGACCTTAAACTTCGACCTTAATTCCGAAATTTCGACCTTAACCCTTAAATTTCGACCTTAATTCCGAAATTTCGACCTTAATTTCGTAATTTTGATATTTAATCTTTTATTACGGAATTTCGACCTTCACTTCGAAATTTCTCACTTAAATTTGAAATTTTGACCTTAATATCGAAATTTCGACCTTAATATCGAAATTTCGACCTTAATATCGAAATTTCGACCTCAATATCGACGGACCTCGGTCGATGGCCCTTTGGTATTCACCAATAAATGACATTTATTATTATTATTAAATATGTTCGACCTTATGTATCCTTTCAATTGATTACATTTTTTTTTAGATCATACACTCAGGCTGTATAACTGTGAAACAAACCAGTATAAATTAATACAGACTCTCCACTCCACAAGGTCTAGTTGGAGCATTCTGGATGTCGCATTCAGCCCTGACGGGAGACACTTTGCGTACTCCACTTGGAGCCCCTCGCGTAAGTTTCATCAGTCAACCTACACAAACTGTTGATCATACAGGTTAAGTTCCTTTTTTTAGTGTATCTCTGTTCCGCTCTTGGTAGATCTGAGGATCATGAAGAACTGAGGTTCGACAGACCGGATCGCAATTCATGTACATTCTCTGTGGTTTTCTCCTCTGATGGAAAGGAGTTAATGGGAGGTGGGAATGATAAAAGCATTAGGATTTATGATTTGGTTCAGAGGCAGGAGACGTTTTCGGTAAAATTTTAATTTTATCAGCTAAGTAATTATTTTTGTATTGACGACACTCGGAGGTTGCCGAAAATATTGTATTTTTCTAAAGGTGAGATATACTCGTATAATGTGTCTGAGATAAGGCGGGTCATTACGGGAAAATCGAAAGCCGGAAAAAATACCAAGTCGGTAGAATTAGAGTTTATATTAATGACGTTTTAAAACTTATGAAACTCCGATTATTTGCTGATGTATAATCAACTTCACTGACCTGACTGTCAGTGACTTCGACCTTAATCTCTTAATTTCGACCTTAATTTCGAAATTTCAACCGTAATTTCGAAATTTCGACTTTAACCTCGGAATTTCGAGTTCAATCTCGGAATTTCTACCTTAATCTCGAAATTTTCGACCATAATTTTGAAATTTCGACCTTAATCACGAAACTACGAAACTTCAACGTCAAAATCGACTTTTATCTCGAAATTTTGACCTCAATCTCAAAATTACGACTTCAATCTCGAAATTTCGACCTTGATCTCCAAATTTCGACATCGATCTCGAAATTTCGACCTCGATCTCCAAATTTCGACCCTAAACCCAATATTTCGACTTCAATCTAGAAATTTCGACATCAGTCTCGAAATTTTGACTTTATTCTCGAAATTTCAACTTTAATTTCGAAATTTCCGACCTTAATCTCGATCTTAATTTCGAAATTTCGACCTTAATCTCGAAATTTCTACTTCAATCTAGAAATGTCGATTTTTAACTCGGAATTTCGATCTCAATCTCGACACTTCAACCTCAATATCGACTTTAATCTCGAAATTTTGACCTTAATCTCAAAATTACGACTTCAATCCCAAAATGTCGACCTCGATCTCCAAATTTCGACCTCGATCTCCAAATTTCGACCTCGATCTCCAAATTTCGACCTCGATCTCCAAATTTCGACCTCGATCTCCAAATTTCGAGTTCGATCTCCAAATTTCGAGTTCGATCTCCAAATTTCGACCTCGATCTCCAAATTTCGACCTCCAAATTTCGACCTCGACCTCGAAATTTCGTCCTTGATATCGAAATTTCGAACTTAATACTGAAATTTCGACCTTAATATCGAAATTTCGACCTTAATATCGAAATTTTGACCCTAATATCAAGCTGAGGCACAAAAAATTAAAATTTTAATAAAATGAACAGAATCAATACACTGCACTTCTTTTATCTCAACTCGACTCTTTCAGATCACCGGCGCTCACACTAAAGACGTCAACTGCTCAGTCTTTTCCGACATATCCTCCAATGTGATATTAAGCGGAAGCGATGACGGAATCATCAAAGTTTTCGACAGGAGAGCTGACACTCCGTGTGTTGCCTTCTTGGTCGGACACAAGGACGGCATCACTTACATCGACACCAAAGGAGACGGCTTGCACCTCGTCTCCAATAGCAAGGACCAAAGTCTCAAACTGTGGGACATCAGACTGGCGAGCAAATCGAGACACCTTCCAGTCTTGAAAAGCCATCTGAGATGGGATTATCGGCACGGGAAGATACCGGATTATTGTAAGTTTCTCTACTTATTGCTTGCGTTTACTTTTTTCGCATTCAGGGGTTCCTTTTCAGATTTCCAGTCTGATTGCTTCATGAAAGAAGATGCCTCCATTATGACGTACAGAGGACACACTGTTTTCAAAACGCTCGTGAGATGTCGCTTTTCGCCGATGTTCAGTACTGGTCAAAGGTACATTTACACGGGATGCGGCACGGGTCGCGCTTTTGGTGAGGTGTTTTTTTTCAACATTCCTCCTCTGTCTTATTTGTCTTATATTTTATAGTGTATGATTCTCTGACTGGACTAGTGTCGACAGTACTTGTAGGTCACAATGATGTTGTGAGAGACGTAGCTTGGCATCCATATAGAAATGAAATTTTAACCGCAGCGGTAAGTGCAAAGTGGGAAGTATTCAGAATCGTGTTGAAAATATTCATATTTTTTTAAAGGTTATGTAACATACATACTATCAATCATTATCTAAAGATCATATCTTGTTCACGACGCCTACCAGCAGAATATAGAATTAACATCAAAAGAAATTAGGTGGAGTAAAATCAGGTACATTCAACCTAACCATCTGGTTGAATTTCGTGGGTGGTTGTGAACGCCTTATACAGTACGACTACTTCGTCGACATATCATATGTGATGCATATTCAATTGTTTTGAATTTTGACAGAAGTAACAGCGTGCGCAATTTATCCTTTCATCAGGAATAGTTGACTACTCAAAGTGAAAATTGAAATATTTCTCACAGAACACTTACATGTTCTGTGATTTCGGTGTATGAAATGCTCCTCTGAAAAGTAATAGATCTTCTATTATTGAATTGTATTTTTCCTATACAATACTGTGTTCCTATATAATCACTGTACAATTCCTATGCAATAACTGTACAATTCTTGTACAGTTACTGTACAAGTTCTATATTATTCCTATACAATTTCTGTACAATCGATTCTTGTACATCTACTGCACAATTCCTATATTTTTCCCGTACTATTACTGTATAATTACTATATAATTACTGCAGGTTTGGTTTTCCTCAATNAGTTCCCTGTAAAAAATATCTAAAGTATCATTCATAATTAATGTATTGTGTTTGTATTGATATTTTAGTTATGAACCCGAGTTCGCTGACCCAGCATCGCTTAGGGATGGAGTTACATCCGCTGTTCCAGCCGCGACTACATGCTAAGTCGACAAAACAAAGATCATAAATAAATGTTAATTTATTGCCCGAAATGTAAACGTTGAATTCTTCTAAAGTCTTTTACAGCAATATCTGGTATCATCTATTCAAATGCGCTTGGTTATTGTGAATATTTAAAAATTGAAAATGGGGAATGTTCTTTCTGACGAAAATAAAGTAGTTTTCATAAAAGAGCTCTAAAACAACGCATTTTAAACTTATCATTTCAATCTTTTTCTTTAAAAATTATTTAAATACTTAAAAAAGAGGAATCAAATAATGTATACAAGCTCTGCTTTCGCGATGTTCTGTGTTGGTGTTTATTTGTATATTATATATAATATAATCGATGTAAATTAGCATGTGAACAATTGTCATTTTGTGAACATTATTATACAGACCTAACCTAACCTAACCTAACCTAACCTAGCTTCAATCCGACTCAAGACGTACATCGAAACTAAATTATAAAAATGATAATTACAAAATAAACTACACAGTAGACAGTTACAAACTTAATTTGATGGATAATTAGTTCTTGTAAAACAGGTAGCTTTTGAAAAAACAACTATAATACAATTTTACTTCTAGGAAAACAGGTAATCTATAAATATGTTAATTATTGGAATTTTATGCCAAAACCTAATTACATAAATGTTTTAAACAGGTAGATTTTGAAAATAAATCACAATTAAATAACAAGTAATTTATAATATGTTGATTATTACTGCCAAAAATTAACTAGATTTTTGATTGATTCTGAGAAAACATGTAGATTTTGAAAAAAAAACAATATTATTCAACAAAAAGTTATTCGTTCACCATTGTTGAAATTGTTTTCATAAAATATTGATAATTAACATATTCATAGATTACGTGTGTCCTAGAAGTCTAATATTGTATATTGTTATTGTTTTTTAAACATCTACCTGTTTTATTAGAATCTTATAAGTTTTATAATGCATTGCTATTTGATTTTCAGTTCGATTGTATAGTAGGAAAGTGGACGTACTCCAAGAAAAAGGACTAAGATCATCTATTTTTCGGAGAAGTCCTTAAATTTCAATATCGTAGCCAGAAAGGCAGGAATCATATGAGAGTTAACCTATGAATATTGTGATTCATTTCAAAGACGAAAACAATCAGTAATAATAGGAAGTGTCGTTAAAAACGAGTAAATTCACCTGAATATCACTGGAATTTTTTCCCAACACAAAACTGTTATTTTCAACACCTCGCCACGTGTTTCGCTCACCAAGTGATCATCTTCAAGAGGAAGATTAAACTGTTTAATTGGCTTGGTGGTGGTTTGAAACTCCAGTAATATTCTTTACTACACCAAAGGTTCTAAACAGTCCATCACAAGTAAATTTATCTGAAAAATGTTTTGTCTGCATTAAAAAACATCTTATTCGATTCAATTGGATGGGGTATCATTCTTGACCTTCTTCAGTATCGAAAATTACAAATTTTCACACTTTCCCAAGGGTTTTGACAGTTTTCTCTGGAACACCTGTATATTTGTGTTTGACTCACAAAATATTTTAGTTTGTAGTGTTAAGTTTGGAAAGATTATTATTTGTATCCATCATGTATCTCACAACTGTGAAGAAAGTGATTTATTTTTGTTATTTGGAATTAAAGAGAATATTTAATAAAGTGTACTTTATTGTTGATACCTGCTCTGGCGTACGAGATTTGCTTACAAAATGAAGAGATTGTGAAAAATTTCTATTTTTTATAACTCCCTCCCTCTTTCTGAAGTCTTACATGCTTCCTGTTCCTTCTTTTTTAGGCGCAGCAAGGAAACGAGGATCAGAGTATTGTCCTTAAACATTCAATCATTAAGACACAAGACTGATGAACTATTGTTATTATTAGCTGAATATGAATATCCGGATATAATTCTTTTAACTGAACATTGGTTGAAACCGGAAGAACCAATATTTCTACCTCAGTATAGCTTGATTTCAAAATATTGTCGCTTTAACTCAATTGGTGGAGGCACCCTTGCTTTAGTTAAAGATTATTTAAGTTCTAATTTCTTCAAGGTTGACGAATTGGATCATTTAATTATAGAAAGAGAGTTTGAATTCTCAATCATAAGATTTGCTGAATTAAATCTTTTTGTAATATGTGTATACAGACCCCCTACATCTAATGTAACAAATTTTTTGAAGGGATTGGAGGTTCTTCTAGATCAGCTTTCCTTATATGCATCCTTACTTCTTACAGGTGATTTTAATATAAACTTTTCTGATACAACATCTACAAATACTAAGTTATTGCTTAACTTATTGACATCGTTTAACCTTCATATGCACGTA